CTCTGTGATCCCCCGCAGCACCGGCTGGACGCGCGTCGTACGTCAGTGAGGTGAGACAAGCTGCTCAAAGTTTTTTTTACTTTTCGGGGCTGAACTCGGGGGGTGGGGGGGGGGTGCAAGGCCTTCCTTGGCTGGGCGGTGGTGTGCCGAGTTCCTTTGTGATGTTGGGTTTCCGTTTTTGTTCAGGTGGGGGGCTTGCCGCTCCGCAGGTCTAATGGTGTCCCCGCTGATGTTTCAGGAGCTGCTGCAGAAGAAAGAAGCGGCCTGGGGATGCTGGAGGCAGGAGCAAGCAAGGACAGAGTGGTGTTGACTGTCTTTCTCATTCGATTAAGCTGTCTTTTGAAGCCACAGTTGAAATGTTTGTATTGCTCTTGTTAGCACATTTTTCCTCCATAGGCCTTTGAGAATAAACGCTGCCTATTTTTGTTTCAGTGATATCTGCTTTTAATTTCCGGTGTGCATTGTATCTGTGTGTTACGTCATACCGCTGCTAGCATGAAGCTTCTTCTTACTGGCTGAATTGCTAGCCAGCCATTTGTTTCTTTCCTCCACGCTTATGGACAATCCTTTCATCTGAGGTGAGGTTTTTGTGGTCTTTCTTTGGGGTTTAGTAGTGATTTATATGGCACTGCTCTTCCCTTAGTCTCGCCCGTGTCCTATGGCAAGCAGGCTCAGGGTTAGGTTTTCTGCCAAGCAAGCTGCCTCACTTCTAGGGACACTTGTGCTGAGCTCTTTTTCCTTTGTATGTTTTCATTGGTGTCTCCGAAATACTAGGCATTTTTTTTGATTTGTGGAATGGTTGGGATGTGCTCGTGGGTGGTTATATGTGTCTGGTTCCCCACCAGTGTGTTTGTCTCTCTGGTGCTTTATCCCTCCACTTTCTTTGAAAGTGATCTTATTGCACATTCTGCAGTAATGTGGCCCTGGTCAGTGCGGTTGGTAATTTCGCTTCTCTGAAGTGTGGTTTAATTTGGCAGGTACTTTAGCCCTATGCAGTTTTTGGCTCCCTCCCCTGCTTCCCACAGGGTAGGAGTAGAGACTGGGGTGGGAGGGGATCCAGTAGAAGTAGTGGACTGAGGTTAAAAACAATTTACTAATGTAGAGAAAAGAAAGGGAAAAGTGGATAAGGGCTATGATACATACACTCGTGTATTTATGAATAAGAACTGATGCCCACGCAATTGCTCAGCCCCACTGACGCCCAGCCAGTCCCCACAGATCAGTTGCCTTCTTGAACTTCCTCCTGTTTTTCAAACTTTCCTTACGTATTATGGCATCGGGTATGGAATATTGCCTTGGCCAGGTTTAGGTCAGCTATGCTGATTTTGTCCCAGCCCCCTGTGCTGCTCCTAGCCCTCTTCCTGTACAGTAGGAGAAGCTGAGAAAAGAAACACTTAATTCTGTTCAGAAGTACTCTGTAACAACTGAAAACATTGCTGTGTTATCAGCATTGTACTTCTCCAAACCATATCAGCGTACCTGCCACTTTGAAGAAGTACTCTATCCCTGATGAAACCAAGGCAACATCCACCCCTTGTCCTGTCCCATTCATCTTATGCTGGGGTCTCATCATAATCTTATACATCCTAACTATATACTATCTCCTGTGTCACTTTTTGATGTATGCACACATCTAATTCCCATAGCCTATTGTCTATCCCTGTAAATTGTCTGTCCATGAAGTAACTCATGATTTTGGGCTCTTATCTGTCGTAGCGGTCCTTCAGTACGTGAGGGAGGATCCATTGTTGGATTTCTGCTTGCTAAGCTAGTTCTGACTTCATCAAAATTCATTCTTTAGTTGGGGTGGTTCTAATTGTAGCAGTGTTATTGAAGCCTATAAGAACCGTAGTGATGATGGCATGCAGTATTGTGTAGCAACTGATATACCATATGTATCTGTGTTTATTCTTACACAGCATCAAATCCCTTTGAGGTACACAACAGACACCCACCATGCTGCTTTACCCACCACATGCCCGCAGATCCTTCAGAAAAATTAACCCCACAAATAAGCTTGCCTTTGCTTGAGGCAGGAATAATCCAGACTGTCTTGCTCAGCATGTTCTTTACATGCACCACTGGGTCTTTATCCCCCTTCTGTGGTACACAGAATGTCTGATTGGATAGAACCAGCCCCCCACTGGCAGATCCCTGAGTGTTGACTGAGCAGGCGGCTTTTGCTAAATGCGTGTCCCAACGTTTGACTGGCGTGCACCCATGGCTCTTAGTAGTCTTTAACAGGCCAGTGTATCATCTGATTTTTCCAGATGCTGTGTACGGTAGGGGATGTGATATACCAACTCAGTGCTGTGCTCTTTTGCCCAGGGGATTATGAGATTGCTTCAGAAATGATTCCTGTTGTCTGACACAGTTCTTCCTGGGGTGCTATGTCACGAGAAGGCTTGCTTTTCAGGGCCCAGGATAGTACTTTGGGCAGTAGGAATGTGCATGGGGTCTGTTTCCAGCCATCCGATGGTTGCTTCCACCGTTGTATGCATGTGGTGCTCAGCTGGCCAACAGCTGTTAATCTTTTCACACATCTCATAGTTCACTTAATGTAAGGAGTCAGACAGTTTCTTTCTCTTTCTCTTTCTTCTCCTGCCATTTTAGTCATGGCCTCGCTCCACCTTCATCTTAGGAGCTTCTCTCCTTGTTAAACACTCTGGCTTTTGTAGACATTTTTTCTTACAGGCACTGGTTGCTTCTTTGGTTGAACTGTGGGACTTAGGATAGGAATTGGAGCGACCACAAGGCTCACTGTGAGGGTCGTGGTGGCTGCAGGGCACTTTAGAAGGGTTACGGTACCCACAGGTCCATTATAAGGACTGAAGCAATTACAGGGCCTGTTGCAGAGACTGGAGCAGCTACAGGAGTGTAGCAAGGGTTGGAGCAGAAGCAGAACCCGTTGCAGCTGCTGGAGCAACCGCAGGACTGCAGCGGCTGCAACCTGGCTGTTCTTCATCATTGGGTCATCCTGCTTTGTTTCAATTTTTGGAACTGTGATTAAATTCGCTTGTACCTATTATTAGATAATAAAATTGAATTAAAAGCTGCAGAAGTCTACACATCAGTACTAAGCGCTTGTGACTGTTGCCTAATATTCTCAATGTTTTAAAAAAGAATAATAATAATAATAGTAAAAGGTTGTTAGTTTGCCAAATACACCAAAAAAGTTCCAAAATAGGTCCCTTCTGAGAATGTCGACTCATACTGCCTAATACTTCTCATTTATCTCATGTATTTATGGAACATGTATGTTTTCCAAAGTAAGCCTGTTAAGTGTTCTTTTAACGTTGCTGTACTTGGCAAATACCCTCTCAAACATTCCATAGTAACAGCTTGTCGAAAGTCAGAAAGAGCTCTCTCTTACATCCTCCTGCCCATACATACAGTTAAAGATAAGGGAAAGGAGAAAAAATCCTCTGTTCCTTGTACGTCTGCAGTAAGATGTACTGGGAGTTGGGAAGGCAAAATCCTTGCAGTCATTCTCCCATATACATTTATGAAGCCATAATGGATCGCTAAATTAGAGCTATTGATAGTTTTGTTGTTGTTGTTGTTTCTTGTTGGAGTTCAAATGTTGGATTTACTATTTCTTCATCACATAAACAAGAGAAATGCTGTTTTTCTGTTTATGTGGAAATGATTGCCAGGAAGTGACCCATGCCACACGCTTGTAAAAGATGAAAAATTCCTTGTAGTTATGAAATCAGCACACGTGAATTAACTTGCTGTCGTGATTCTGGATTCATTCATTATCTATTTCCATTTGCTTTAGTACTCGTAATCCTTTTAAGCTCTTGGCCTCAGTTATACCTTTTGAAAAAGATTTCCAAAAGCTAATTAGGTTCATGCTGATAACCGCTTTGTTTTAATATTATTCTCTGCTAGTTTCACTGGAGGTAGCCTTCTGGAGTTCTGAAGTTTTGAACTGAAATGTTAAAACTAAACAAAAAATTTAGAGCGGTTTGCAAATTTGTGACTTTTAACTTATCGTCTTCTGTAAGACCACTTAGATCCCATCTCTTAAAACGCAGTTATTCTGCTGGTTATTCTCAAGGTTTCTCATCATTTAGGAATCTTTTCTACTTTTGCTCTGACCAAGTCTGGTTATCTTATCCATCCTATATATTTTCATGCAGAAAAATCCATGACAGTTCTTGAAACAGTGCCTTTGGAAAAGTTCTCCCTGCTCCATTCAGTGCTTTGAAATACAGTTTTCTTTTCTGAGTAGTAAAAGTCACCAATCATTCCTCTGCAGTGATTACTGAATCTCAGTCCTGAGCTATTTAAATGGGGGAAAAAAAAAAAAAGTCGAAACCATTCACGTCAGCACTGTCACGGTTTTAATTTTTTTGGTTTTCAGTATTCCG